TTTAAGGCTTGTGGACTTCAACTCCCAGAATTCCGCAGCCAGCATAACTTCATAACTTTTAAGGCTTGTGGACTTCAACTCCCAGAATTCCGCAGCCAGCATAACTTGGGAACTTTTAAGGCTTGTGGACTTCAACTCCCAGAATTCCCCAGCCAGCATAACTTTTAAGGCTTGTGGACTTCAACTCCCAGAATTCCGCAGCCAGCATAACTTGGGAACTTTTAAGGCTTGTGGACTTCAACTCCCAGAATTCCCCAGCCAGCATAACTTTTAAGGCTTGTGGACTTCAACTCCCAGAATTCCGCAGCCAGCATAACTTGGGAACTTTTAAGGCTTGTGGACTTCAACTCCCAGAATTCCCCAGCCAGCATAACTTTTAAGGCTTGTGGACTTCAACTCCCAGAATTCCGCAGCCAGCATAACTTGGGAACTTTTAAGGCTTGTGGACTTCAACTCCCAGAATTCCCCAGCCAGCATAACTTGGCAACTTTAAGGCTTGTGGACTTCAACTCCCAGAATTCCCCAGCCAGCATAGCCTGGGAACTTTAAGGCTTGTGGAACTCCCAGAATTCCCCAGCTAGCATAACTTGGCAACTTTAAGGCTTGTGGACTTCAATTCCCAGAATTCTGGGAGTTGATGTCCACAAATCTTTAAAGTTCCTAAGTTTGGACACCCCTGCAGTTTAGATGGAGGAAATGGCCTCCTGGGAAGGATTTGGAGGACCGGTTGCCCAGGGACGATGGAGGTTTGACTCCTGGCCATCTTTTCCCGCTCCCTCCCTCCCTCTGTTTGGGGACAGGACGAGGGATCATCTAGGCTGGTTTTGTGCCTGGCAAGAAACTCTGCTCTCAAAAGAACAGCCTGGCAAGCCCTTGCTTGTCTGAGCTAGTTTGGCAACCCCCATTTGGAAGTACAGAATGGTTGGATTTGGTTGCGATGGAGGATTCGGCACGTGCCTGCTGGGAATTGGCTCAAACCCTCCTCTTTCCCGCCTGGGTTCTTCCCCTTGTTTCTACTTCAAAAAGGCCTCCGAAGCAGCTTTCAGTCTTCTTTCTCTCTGAACTTCGCCTCTGGCCTCAGCATGGTGGGTTTTCTGTCCCCAGACCCAATTGCCATTGCTGGGAATAACTTGCGCTTGGCTTTTGGGGCTGGTTCTCTCTTTATTAGCCCAAGGCCTCTGGGGGAAGTGCCAAACAGGAGGAGGGGCTTCCACCATCCATGCTCCAAATCTTTTCTTGCCTCCGGTTGCTGGAATGGATCCTGGAGCGGCAAACTTTTGAAGACCGTAAAGTAGAAAAAGTTTTCAGGATTAGTTGTCTGCGCCTCTTGGAAGAAACCTGCCGTGCTTCTCTCTAGTTTCGCAGGCCCAGTATTCTTTCTGGCAGGGTGGGAAGAGAGATTTTCCTCTCCTGTGCTCCTGCAAATGTACCCCTTTCTGATGGTGGTGCTGCTCCTGGGACCCAGGTGAAGCCCTTCGTTTCTTCTGCCCCACAGCAAGCAAGCTGTCCAGCCCCAGTGACCCTTTCTGGCAGCCTGCGTTTTAAAGTCTGCAGGTGGCTCTTTGTTCAGAAAACGTTGCCTTCCCTCTAATTCAGCGGCCCGCAACCTTTGGGGCAACAGGGACCAGTTCTATCATAGAGAGGCTTTTTTGTGGACCGGACGGGTGGGCTGGTTTTGCACGCTGCCTGCATCCCCCGGATGGGGCTTCCTTTGCACAGCCCGGTTTCTGGCATGCTGGTGGGGGGGGGGTGTAACGTAACCATTCTCTGCTACCAAATGTGATGTTCCCATGGTTCGTCCATGAGGCCAATGTGGAGAAAAG